TGGACAGGGCACAGTTCTATTCAAAGTGACTACAGACAGGATCCAAGTGGATCATTCTTAAGGATTCTGCTTTCTCTGAAGTGAAAACTCTGCATAAAATAACGGAAGCAAGGGAGAGGAGGTCGAGGGGGAAGCGAAAGCATTTTAGGGCCGGCCCCTGGCCCACCTTCCATCACCCAGGGGCTTCAACCAGGAGGGGCCCTGAAGTCTTGGCAGACTCCCCCACAGCGTGTTAAATCCACCTGTTCTTTAACATGCAGGAGGGGGACTGAAGCTTAGCAGAACTAGGATTTTGTAATCACAGAAGTGAATTCTAAGAGCCACTGGATTCTTAGAAGAAGCCATGAAATTAGTGCTGTAAATAATAATAATAATAATAATAATAATAAATAATAATTCATGTGATACTCACACAGTGCTTGCTCTGTGCCAGGGAGATTCTAAACCCTTTACAGGTGCTAATCTCTCCACTCTCCAACTCTATCATGTAGGTCTTAATTCCCATTTTATAGATCAGACAACCGAGGCACAGAGGGGTTAAGAAACCTGCCCAAGTTCCCCCCGAGCAGAGCCCCGTGGCTGTGCTGTCGCCACCATGACAGACTTCTGGATGAAATGTGGGCATGTCCTCCAACTGGCTGCCTGGTTATCCAGCTGGGTTCCCCCTAACCTCAGCACCTTCCACACCAGGGGGCAACTAACGAGGAGTTGAGAAACATTCCTTGCGGTGCAGTCACTCTGCCTCTGGAGGCTGTGGTTAGCACAGTGGGCAGCAGTGGGCAAGAAGTGTGCCCCCTGCGATGGCGGCCGCTACTTCCACCCCTTCCTGCATCCAGGGAGCACGAGTGAGCTGAGGGACAGTACTGTGGGAATTAAAATGCCTGCTTTTGTCCTGCAGCTCTGCCTCCGATTTCCTCAGAGACCACAGAATCATAGTAATTAAAAACCCCAAAGACCTTAGAACTCATTTCAACAATCTCTTTCCTTTGACAAACATGATAGGATTCCTTGGGGCTTGTTCATGGCTGAGAAGAGCCTGGGACTCGGGCTTCTGGAGCCCCCCCATTCCACTGCTTTATGCTTCTGAGCCTCACTTTGCCTCTGCCCAGTGGACATGGAAGGAGCTGGTGACTTTTCTTTATTAGAGGGTCATGGAGACAATGTCTATAAGATGCATGGCACTTCTGGAAGACACACCTGCCAACCTCTGCATTTGTAATAAGAAACGGGTTATATTGAAACAATGACTGTGTCCAGTCCATAGTTAGTGGTCAGTAAGGGCAAAGCAAAGGGATAGCTGGTGTTACTGAGTGCTTGCTGGAGGCCAGGACAGCCCAGGGCTCTCCAGCATCGTCACATGCATCCTCCAAACAATACAGCCTTCTTTGGTTGAAACTAAAGTTCAGGAACTTGTCTGGGATCTCACAGGCAATAGCAGGTGGGCCCGAGACTTGGGTCCAAGATGCCTTCATTCCAGAATTCCTGCTCCCAGGCACTAGGCTTAATGTCTCCTGATGGACCTTGGTTTCCTAGGAGACCTTGAGAGCAGAGAATCTACAGGGAGGCCATTCCAGACTCTTGGGTTTCATTCCAAAAAGACAGAATGAATGGGGAACTAATCAATGTGTGCACTGCTTTGCTTATACCTCTCTCGGACCCTTATTTTGGTTCTGCCTGAATCTTCCTAGCCAAGCCACTCTCCTGCCCATGCTGAAAGCTCTGTGGCTCGGGGCTCTGGCAATGACTCAATTTACTCTTCTTGGGTGAGTAAAATCTTTCAGGAATGGAAACTGCAACTTCACGAGTCATTCTGGACTATCTCACTTGACTTCCAAGAAATTATTCCTCATGGAAATGGAACTGCTCTCTAGCCAATACACAGTGTCCTTTCCTTTTCCATGGACTCAGAGGATTTTGTCCTATTTCCCCTTGGAATCCAGTCATTCCTTGGTTCTTGTCTAGGTTAACAAGTTTAAAGATGTGAGATCTTTGAACTGTGCAGGCCCACTTACGTATTTTTTAAAAAAATAAATACCATAAATGTATTTTCTTCTCTTTATGTTTTCTTAATAACACATTCTGTTTGCTACCTTACTTTACTGTAAGAATACAGTATCTAATACACAGAACATACAAAATGTGTGTTAACTGCTTATGTTATCAGTGAGGCTTCCGGTCAACAGTAGGCTATTGGTAGTAGTTAAGATTTGGGGGAGTCAAAAGTTATATGAGAATTTCCAACTGCGTGGGTGGGGGTGGGCGCCCCAACCCCTGCGCTGCTCAAGGGTGGGCTGTGTGTTCAGCAACGTGGCTGTTCCTCCTCGTATCCCAGAGGCAGAGGCCCGTGAAGATCACATGCTTCAACCTCCCTCTTCCATGTGAGGAAACCATATTCCAGAGGGCAGACCACCTAGCCCCTGGTTAACTGAAAAGCACGCTGATTTCCTGAGCGCTTAGACTTCAGAGCAGGCAGAGCTGTGTCCCTGTTCAGAGAGGAATCATCGTTTTGGGGAAGTGGCCTGCTCACCGCACGTGTCAGATGATGAAGAGATCGGAGTTAAAAGTGTCTGATTCAGAAGAGAAAGTTTCTGGAAGGTGACAGCCATCTCCCTCCCACTTGCGCTCCGCTGGGAGGCTGTCACAGCGTGGGGGAAATGGGTGGAAATTCCCACTCTGAGGCAGCTCTGGAAGTTCCCGGATCCCGTGGAGGCCAGGGCCTGCCAAGCCTGCATTCCGGGCTCTGCGCCTGGAGCGAGGGACTCTCACGTGGCCAGGATTGGGCCCCTGCCTGGCTGGGGGGGTGGGGATAAAAGGGGGAAAAAGCCCCGGAATGGGGGAGGCAAGGTCAAGGTTTACTAGCTCCTCAGAATCTTCGATTCCCCTGGGGACCTCTCCCCATTAAGTCATAGATGAGATATGGAGAATTTCCTTTTGATGAATAATATTTTTTCCTTTCTCCTAGTGGGTTAACCCTGCTCTAAACTGGCATCCTCCCCGTGGGCCTTTGTCACCACCCAAACTCCCACTCAGTGTCAGGGGTAAAGGAAAGAGGAACTAAGAGTGAGCTTTCTAGAACTATCAGAACCCGGTACCTACCCCCCTGCCCTGGCCCTTTCCACGCCCCTGGCCTGTGCTTGCTGATGCTTCTAGTGAGACCCATCGGGTCCTTCCAGAGCCTCCCCCAGCCTCTCCCCTCCCTCCTCCAGGTTAGCTCTGAGCTCCAGGTAGGCCAGCACCTGTTTTCCCCAACTCTGCCATCCTTTCTTTCCCCAAGGACTGGAAATCCATTCTTTACTCTTGCACAGATATGAACAAGACCTTAGAGATCATCTTCCCACTTCACTGATGGGGAGACTGAGGCCAGGAAAGAGTCAGTGACAGGCCTGAGGTAAGTTGAAGATGCATGGCAGGGCCTGGGGGGATTTGCTCATTCCTGGGTCCTCAGGACCGCACTCTGTCTGATATACTAGCTCCTTATACAACACTCATACAGTCAACATCTCCTCTGTGCAGAGACCAAGGTAGGGGGCCTTGTGGGGAAGGGGTGAACCAAGTGTGCAGCATGCTTTCCAGAAAAGATGACAAGGATTCCATGAGAAACAGGGCTGACTTTATGAATGAGCCTGAAGTGCTCACCCCAAGCTTTGGGATTTCCTGTGCCCTGGGTGGATCAGCCCCAGGTCCACCTGCTTGGAGCAGCCAGGGATACGGGAGGGGGCAGTGGTGGGAGAGCCTATGGGAAGAGAAGGAAAGTCTCCTGCAATGGCCTGGGTGGCTGGGGGTGGGGGTGGGCAGTGGTGTCTCAGCTAAGTGGGGGCTTGTCACTTGGGCTGTTTTCTGGGCCAGCCCTCACGGACCAGAGCCTGAGCCCTATGATGAAGGGGCTGCTGTGGGCGAGGGTGAACTCTAAGTACACTGTTAGGGTAATGACAATGTCAGACGC